ACGACTTGACTCGATTATCTGTCTCTATCTCTTCAATCTGCAGTTATTCATATCTATACCGTCACTTCTTGCCGGTCTTATATATACGAAATAGAGGGCATCTGGAGAACACTCGAGGCTTCATGAACAGACATGATCTTTCAAGAATCTCATGACGTGTTACTAGCATCACGTGACTTCCACTGTCGTAACAGTATGCTTATACTTTTAACCTGTTATAAATAACCAGTACTCTCAGATGCTTGTTTCTGTGGTTTGTATTTGGAGTGTTGCTATCTCTAATTTACAATTTAACAAGAATTTCGAATTTTTGGGAGAATACACACATGCACACACACATAATTATCATTAACTTCTGATCAAGACAAGCTTTCTAGATAGATCAGAACTAAAAAGTTAATCTTATAATTAATACAGCATATACCTGGTTACCTAGGTGTATGTAATGTAATAACAAAATTATCAGAATGTGTTGATTCATCAGTTGGATACTGTGTGTGTTATCAATAGTTGTTGTTGTTAGCTAGTATTTTAGGATGACCATACATCTAAGGTTTCTGAAGACAGTCCCTGGATGAGGAATGTTGTCCCCAGGAGGAAAATGTTTTCTTGTTTTTGATTCAAAAAATTGCCAGAATATACCATTACATTTCATTTCATAAGTTTATTGTGAAGTAGGAGTTGGAATTAAACATTCAGCCAGTCTTTAGTATTAGTATTATTATTATTAGATGCATCGTCATGTGATGACACTAGTGGAGTTGCCATAGCTATAATCTTGAATAAGTTGTAGGTTTGTTTTTCAAAACAAAAAAAAAGATACAGTCATCAGAGAAATACAATAGGCACTAATACAACAAGCTTTTCCTTCTTTCTGCAACTGGAATTAGGGTAAGTACAGGTCAAAATTTTTTTGTGTACAAAATAGTCACCTTATAGTATTTAGAACTTGTTTATGTAATATCTATATATAAAGAAGTAACTAAGCTATATTATTTCAAAATAAATGTTTTGTTTTGTGTAAGTTGAACGTTAAAACTGGAAAGCTGTAATGTCCTTCCACATTCATACAAAGGAATGACACTGAAATTGTTAGTTTTATTAATCTGTACAATTAAAGACATCTTGATTAAAATCTTTCAGTTTATATTTATTTAGCTGCTAATGTGAAGACACGGGTATAAAAAATTCATATGAATATTTATGGATATAACTTCCACTTAATTGTAATTATACTACCTATTCTACTTATCTTTGTTTAATATTGATACATTTCATAGCACTTAAAGATGCAAATAATACAGTGATATTAACACTGTTTAAACACTTCTTACTTCAGTATTGTTGACAAGTTGAATCAAATTAGTTTTGGTAAATATTATTTCAATATTATTATATTACTATAGTTAACTCTGTGGTTTTAGTTTTCACTCATGATACATATTAACAGTGTTGTATATTGTTAATAGAGTACAATGTACTGAATCTAATGTTGTTTCATAGCGTGTATCGTATCCTATTGATCATCTAGTAGAAAAATAGTTCTAACTCAATAACTGCACAAAATTTACTGTAGAAAATGTCCCTTAAGTAAAGTGTTAGCCTATAAAGATGTACATGATTCCTTATTTTGAACTTTTCCATATTAAATAGGTCTTGAAAAATTTTGGTTGTTTGAAGTTATAGTAAAACAACGTTTAAAAAATATAAGTATTGCTACATATTTAATGAGTATGAAAATGTTCAGTTTTGTGTTAAAATTTCTATTTTCTTTTCTCAATCAAGAAACACACTTTATACTCGTATTTATTGTTATTTTTGTCTAAACACAGAGTATTCTGTCGACATATTTTTACATTCGCACATTCTCATGGGTAACCATCTCAAACATGTTTCAGTAGACATAAACACTTTAAAAATATTATGTAGTTATTCTAAAATGTAAAATACTTCAAAATAAATAGAGTATTTTAGTGAAAATTTGCATTTCAGTCAATAATTCTAAGAACCTATGAACAAAAGCAAAGAAGAATATTGTTGCGTCAGCGAGGTCACGTGACTAGTATCACGCCACCTGTTTTCTAGAAATATTCTGTTCCTTCGGGAGTGCCCTAGCATTTGCTAGATTGGGGGTGGGCTGGTATATATAAGATGGTCACGGCGTGACGGGACAATGTGTGTAGGTAGTGAGTAATTGATCTGCAGTCAGAGAGTATTGTTGAAGTTAACGTTCGTTGTTATAGCGTTTGTTTAGCGCGATTGTTGAAATTAAGTGTATCGTAAAGTTATATTCAGAAAGAATAAACCAGTTTTATTTAAGAAAGGACTTGTGCCGCTAAAGTTTCGTCGGAACGAACTTACGGGAAATCAATTAACAAACGGGAAATCAATTAACAAACGGAGACGTAACAAATTGGTGTCAGAGAGTGGGATAGAAAAAAAAATATAAGAAGATGGAAACGAGAGGCGGAAAATCAAACAACAGCTT